ACGGAGATGGTCGACACGCCCTACGAGGTCGCCAAGTCGCTCGACGCGCGCCAGCGCCGCTGCGCGGCGGCCGCCGTCGCGGGGGCGGCGGCCGCGCAGCTCGCCGCGACGCGCGCGCCCGCGCGGGACCGCGGCGCGCGCGCGCGGCCCCCGGGGCCCCGCGGCGGCGCCGCGCGCGCGCCGGGCGGCGGCCGCCCGCCCGGCGGCGCGCCGGGGCGACGCCGGAGCGATCGGACCCCCGGGCGCGCCGGCGCACCGGCCCGCGGCCGCGCAGGTGCGCGTACTTCTACCGCGGCCCCGGCCTCGCGATGGCGGACGTCGCGGGCATCCGGACCATGGCGCTCGAGATCTGCGGCACGACGTTCCTGAGCGCCGCGCTGCTCACGCTCGCGTCGACGCTGCGCGGCGCCGCGTCGGTACCCCCGGGGCGCCGGCGCGCGGCGCGCGGCGCGGCCCGCGGGACCGGCCCGGCGCGAACCGCAGGCTCTACGTCGAGATCGGCCGCGGCGCGCTGCCGTTCCTGAACCCCGTCGTCTTCAAGAAGGGCATCCTGCGCACCTTCCCCGTCCACTTTGGGGGCGAGGGCGCGCCGAAGCAGCTCCGGCGCCTGCTCACGAACTGCCTCTGGTGGACGGGCGTCTTCGGCGGCTCCGCCGTCGCGGGCCTGCTCGTCGTCGCGGGCGTCGCCGCCCGCGCGCGAATCGACCGGCGAGCCGGGACGCCGGGGCCGAACGTCGACCCCCCTCGGGCTCCGTCGAATCGACGTCGCCTCGGCCGACGTCCGGACGAGCGCGCGCCTCCCGTCGCGCGCGCCGCGGACGGCGCGCGCGCGCGCCTCGACGCCGTCGAAGACGCGCGCGGGGCGGTCGCGATCAGGACGCGGGTCGCGCGCAGGTCGTCATGGGCGCCATGGCCCAGCTCGGCGTGACCTACGAGGTCGCCATCGGCGGCCTCTACTGGGTCTGCATCAAGGTCCCCATGGCGCTGCTCCTCTGCCTCGGCGTCGCCCTCATGTGCGCGCTCCAGATCTGCGCCGACGTGCCGCCGTCGATCCTCAAGGAGCACACGCGGATCCGCCTCGCGGAGCGCCGTGCGTGAGACCACCGGCGAGCTGGGCCGGTCCAGCGAGACTTCGCGCCTCCCTCTCTCGGTCGCGTCGACGTCGCTTCGGCTCGCGTTTGGACGAGTCGCGTCCTCTCGTCGAGCGCTCGACGAACGCGCGACGCACTCCCGCACGACCATGCGCGCGCGCGCACACCGAGCGCGCGTCGCATGGTTCGGTTCCCGCCCAGGCGGAGCGGGACCAGAAGACGCGCGACGAGCTCCGCGAGGACGCCGCGAGCCGCAAGTACAGCGGCTACGAGGAGGACAAGCCCAAGCCCAAGCCGAAGAAGAAGGCCCCGGGCGACGACAGGGACGACGTCGAGCTCGAGACGTGGGAGCCCGACGACGACGAGGGCGACGGCGACGGCGCGGAGCTCACGTTCGGCGACTACAGCGCGGCGGGCGCGCCGGGCGCGGCGCGGCGCCGCGCGGACCCGACGCGCTTCGACCAGCACGTCCACGTCCACTTCCTCGGCGTCGAGCTCTTCAACGTCGACGCGAGCCACCCCTTCGTCAAGCGCATGGACAAGCTCGAGCGCGACCGCGAGGCGGCGCGCGCGCGCGCGGAGCGCGTCAAGCGGCGCCTCCGCCGCCGGTCCACGGCCGCCGAGGACGGCGTCCCCGTCGAGTCGTCGTCGAGCGACGACGACGACGACGGCGCGGGCGACGCGAACGTCCACTTCGGCGACTACGGCGGCGCCCGGGGCGACGCGGCGGACGGCCGCCGCGGCCGCCGCGGCAAGAAGGGCGGGCTCAAATGCACGCAGTACGAGGAGAAGATGATCGTCAAGCGCGCCGCCGCGCGGGCGCTGGCCGGCGGCCCGGGGGGGGGGCGGCCGGCCGGCGCGCCGCGCGCTCCCCGGGGGCCCGCGCGCCGGCGCCGCGCCGCGACCCCGATCCCCGCGCAGGCTCCTCGGGCGGCCCGTCTGGGAGGTCCACGAGGACCACCGCGC